GTGTACCACGGTGGTCTTTCCTCATTTAACAACTACAAACAGTACAGCTCGAAGTACCTGATGATCGTAGTTGTCTAAAGAGTTGATCAGTGCAAAGTACCATTTATTTGGCAACCTTTATTTGCTAGAAATCGGATAAGTTCCCTATGTGACATACATCAACAGTTCATATCTCCCTTGATGCGCTGATAATCACAGTCTCTAGACTTTGATGACTATAGCCAGGAAGTTTATAGATATATTGAATTCTGATCAGAGTGTGAGCCAGCTTTTCAAGATTGGGAGTAAATTCAGGGCCAAAAGGTGATTGTTTTGTATCTTTGCTTTGACTATGCTTCAAAATATCAAGAAAACTTAGTTTTGAAAGCCTGTGATGTTCTTCAGCTTCCCACTGAAAGAAGATGAACCTTCCTGAGTGGACTGTGCTAAGCTTTTCTGCCTTGGCATGAGCTAACTGAGAAGATGCAGCACTTAATTACCTGGGATGTGAAACATGAAGGTTCAATATAACCTCATGCCCTAGATGCTTTGAACTCACTTTGAAATGGACTGCCTGACACACTGAGTGGGGAAGTTCCAGACCTTTTCTGTGGGTCATGCCAACTATGAGACAGTTATCAGAAAAGGGGTTCCCTCTTCTCAGTTAAATCCCCTAATTGTCAAATTTGGAACTTGTTTATTTTTCTCTCTTCATAGATTTTATAAAAACATAACAGTTCTAATAGGAAAGACAAAATAAAAAGACTTCTTTCACCTTTTGTAATATGATAAGCAATATACTGAAAAATTACCACCGTTGATTTTTTCTTCTAGTCATTTTTTCCTTTTGAGAGACTAGAATAGATGAGATTGCTACAATGCTGGACATTAGAACTGTTAGAAGAAAAATCGGAAAGAAAAAACTATGTAGGTAGTCTCTTTTACATTGCTCAAGAAATTGTCTGATGCAACATTGTGTTCTACTGAAAGTGACTGTACTACAATGACTGATTAGTTCATTATCCTAAAAGAAACCCCAACTTTTTGTGGAACAGTAAAATAAACAGTCACTGATCACATGTCCTTAAAACTTTTGTGTGCTGATAAGCTGTCTGTGGAGAGTACTAGTCCGATGCAAATGTCAACATGGTAGCATTTAAACAAATGGTTGGACAGTCAGTAGAAAGGACTTAATTATTGGAACTGCATACACTGTTTGGTTCAGCAGTTTTACCAGAGATATAAATAACATTTGTCTGAGCAGCTACCTTCAACTAAAAGGCTCAGCTTCAGCCAAAATCTGAGAATCTTTTTCAAAAGCTGCAGTAAGCTAATGTGAATGTGCATTTGTAGAGTGAATTTGCACACGAGATATGCAAGTAAGGCTAGTGAAACTATGATAAGTAAGTCCACAATTGGTGTGCAGCCTGCATGCTTCGGATACTATGGAACATCATCTCTGGCCTGTATAGCAGTAGTACCTCTTTTACTAAAATTTTCAGCAACAAAGAATTCAGGAGTCACCAGGTCTGGTTTGTGTTTGGACACAGACTACCTTGTTGGAAACATCCAGGAGCATTACATATACTCTAGTAACAGCATAGGTTTTTATAAATATGATGCCTATAACACTATAGTTTACAATAACAAAAATCTAAGTGAAAATAATAACTAAAAGTTCACAATGGAAACTTTAACCAGTTTAATCCCTCTTCATCACTAGCGATGCAATACCATCCAGGCCACTTGAGTGTCAAAACACAAAAAAATGCACTATAAATATGAGAAAGGCTACACATATTAAAAAAAAGTTTACATTTTACAGAATAATGATGTATCTGCAAGGAAGGAATGTTCCATTATTATTAGGACTTTTGTGCTGTGACACATCTCTTTCCCATCTTTCCCCTTTCCTTATTTTTGTAGGAGAGGCAATAATTTAAACTTTCTTCTGGAAGCTGGTTCTTAAGCATAAATACGTGATAGTAGTAATATTAATACAAAGAGTGTCTAAGCCCTTTCCATGCTCAGGGCCTTTAAGGTGGAAAGAAGGAGATGCCAGGGAACTGCATGTTTCACATGCAAAAAAAATATAATCATTTATATGTCTGTCTAAATGTCACTAGAATGAACTTAACAACTATAAAATATGATTCTTTTGTCTAGCTAGTATATATTATACCCCCTACTCTGCTACACTGTGTACTTTCTGCATTTTGGAGTTGTATGACATCCATCAACAGTTCCAAGTACTCTATACAATTAATCCATCCTTAACATGCATATGCTTTATATTATAAACATACAACAGTTGAATGTGCATATCTTCAAAGCAATTTTCATATTTCATTAGTCCTTTAATAGTCTGGAAGATGAGTGGGGCTCATGACATGTTATAAAAGGATTTAATTGCTTTTAGACTGGGGAAACATTCTAAATTGAAGTGCATCTTAGAAAATGTCCAACTGCAGCCCTTTCCAAGAGCACCAGCACATCTGCTGATTAAATCTTCAGGAGATTTATGCTGGGAAAGTCAGATTCTCTTCCAACAAGCATGTCCCAGCAGATGCTGCAGTTTACGGATGGGTTGTTGGAGCCACAGGCACCTGGTTTGGCGGGTACCCATTTTGCCCCCTGCTGTATCAGCAAGAAGTGCTTGCGCTGAAGGCAAGAACTGATGCGTGTTGGTTCATATCACAGCTCAGCTCTTCTCCTCCAAAGGAGTGAGTGTTCTGGGTCACTTTGCTGTGCCATGGCCTGCTTTGATACGTGTTGGTAGTATTCATGCACCTTTTTGCTACGATACCACTAGCACTTTTAACTATGCTGAAAAGAGCTGGTTAAATGGGGTTGCTTAAATAAGAGAAGTATGCAATATTCTCTTCATAGGACAGGAAAGAGTATTCCCTGCTTAGTATGCAGAGAGGCAAAGAATTATTTAGGGACAGCACCAGTGAGGAGGCTTTTTTTGCAGAAATGGCCATAAGCTTCCAACTCCTCCAACCATTCAACAATAGGATATTTTGACAGCAGAGTAGCTGCCGCTGTTAATCTCCTAATTACGGATCAAAAATGCCACCAACACATGATGCATAACACTGAACTGGTATAAGCTCATGCAGCAGTTTGGAACAGTGGAAAATTTTCTGCTGGATTAACCTTTATACCAGTAGGTTCTATGCCAGATTCAGTATCAGCTGTATTCTAGCCTCCTTTTGAAACCTACAGACACTGTAAAAAAAAAAAAAAAAGAAAAAAACTAGAAAGCTGGCATATACTTTGTATCATCTGCTGTAGCTAATTTGACAGCTATGCTATCATTTGTATCTACCTGATTTGCACAAAATTAAGGTTTTTAGTAACCTCAAGGAAATGGTGCAGTGCTCTGGCAGTGATGCTCACAGACCCACGTTCTCAAAGGCTGTGTTAATTCACCGGCTGTAGCCACTGATGTGAGGCTTGTTTGTACTTGAAATATCTGCTGACTGAGTTCTCCTGTGGGTGCAAAAAGTGCTTATGCACCCAGGCACATGGTGTTCTCCCCATCATTCTTCCTCTGGCCACCTCCTGGGGTAACATAAGCCATTATCACTCTAAGGGAGATCCACACTGGTAAATCTGGTATCAATCCACTAAAAACGTGCTCTGCATTTCATCACATATACCTCATAAACCTCATTATCAGTTAGAAAAGTGCAAATACTAAATCATTCTTCCATGTGTTTCCAAAAGCTTCACACATTCACGTAAAAGGCCACCTTTACAAGAGCTACCACCCTAGTTACTACAGCGTTGCCAGACTTTCTGTGGTAATAGGAGTTTTATTTTGAAACCGTGTCTCCTCTATAGTGCAATTAGAATAGGATTGTGAACAAGAATTGTCAGAAATTAAACCAGTATTGTTTCCCGTCTTTATGTGTCAGATCATGGACTGAACATTATTAGAGAGCAGAATAATTGTGGGGAATTTTTGTTGTTGTAATTGTGGTGAAAGGATGAGGGGTGGAGTGTGTGTAAATTGTCCACCTTTGTTGGTGTTGTGATGAGCTTATTTTGATTTAGGTGTGGGGAATTCTTTTGTTGATGTAAGTGACGTTTGTGAAGATTGTAGATTGTGTGATGAATGTGTATTTTAATGATAATGATAATTTAATGATAATGATAAAACAAAACATCTTTTTACATTCTCAGCATGATGTAATTAAAAATCACATCCCACAAGATATTCAGCCGCCTCATTCTTAGTGATCTCAGCTCTATGAAGATGCCTGAGCACTTTTAAAAATCTGGCCTATAGACATATTTTAAGAGGGTCAAAATACACTGCTGTAAAGGTTAAGATTACTGCTCTTCTCAGTAGTCTGTTGTACTATAGCTTTTGATTATTCTATTTTGTGTTACTGCTTTTTATGTTGGTTCTTTTTTTTTTCTTCCCTGAGTTAGCTGCTGCACTAGGTGTCTCTCTTTCTCTCTTCCAATCATTATTTTGGGGCAGGTTTGTAAAATTTCATTTTGCTTCACAGTGTGCAAAGCAGTACAGCTTAAGGGCTATATATACATTTACTACTCTCTGCACTTAGTTACTACGTTGTTCTAAGAGATGCTGAGTATACCTGTCACCCAGGGAGAGAATGATCACCATGGGATCAGGCAGATAAGAGCTGATCTATTCCCTAGCCAGCAGGAGGGGAGTTTAAAGCAGTCAGAGTTATCAGAGGATCTCCTCAAATCTTCCTTCTGAAGGGGAATCTGTGGTAGTGCAAGAAAGGCAAAACTGTCAGTGGTATAAATTAAATCTGAAGTTTTAGCTTACATGTAGGGCTAAAGTTGGCAGGGGGGGAGCCTTAAGCAAAAGCTTAAGGAAAGAAATAAGGAGTATTCTGTCACTGATACTGTTTCCTCCAAAGGCTGAAAAAAATCTGTAATAAACCTCTGGTTAGAAGGGCAAAGCTAGCTTTTACCCTCAAAAGTTTGATTGTGCACCAGCCTTGTAAATACTACATATGCTTTCCTCTGTGCAGGTATCTAAGCCAGACCGTACTGGAAGAGACAGTGTTAACAGCCAACCGTCAAAACAGGGAGAAATTAGCCATACTAAAACAAGCTCTAGGTGCTGTGGGATTCAATAGCCTGGTAAGTTACACAAGCTTATGTTATTCGTGGCTAAAATCACCATATTAGTTAAAAGTGAGTCAAAAGGAACTCTTGCTGATAACCTTTTGTGGGGAAAAGAAGTGCCATTCTGTCTTTCTTTCTGTTCGTTAAGACATTGGAACAATATACAGTACTAGTTCACTCCAGGAAAATTACTGTAATCACTTTTAATTAGATACAGCGCCAACAATGTAAATCTTTTTCATTCTTAAAGATTCACAAAACAGCTTCAAGGTATAATACTCTGAACAATTAAAATTACAGAGATAAAAAGAAACAATCAAATCCCATATGAGAGAAACCTCATAAAACCAACACGAATTTTTTCCTCTTCCTGATTATTTCCCTGTCCCTTTTAATTTTGTGAAAAACTCATTCCAAATGCCTTTGCTAGCAGCACCTGAAAAGAAATACATATTTAGTCAAACAAAATTAGGGCTGGGTAACTTGAAAGAGCTGGCCTAACCCCCAAAAAAGCAACAAGAAGATAGGTCTGATGTTTGTCTTCAAGCCCATAACGCTAACGAAGAAGATAATTTGGAAAATAAATCAAGAAGTGGTTCCGGAGGACAGAGGTGTGACAGGAATCAGAAGAAACGGAGGGCTGAGTATAAGAACTCATGTAAATTGTGTAATTCCTTTCAGGATGCTAGAATATTTAACAAACTCCCCATATTGCTTACATATGTATATGCTACCTAGCACACTGTAGCTGGGACACTTCTGCAAAACAAATGTATAAGCAACAGTAGTTCTAGAAAGAGGTAAAAACTTATTTACCCCTACATAATATTTAGCATCACAAGAAAAATATGGAGGACAAGTTAATGTAACAGTATGCTAGATTATCATAAGAGCTGACAGATGGGCAACAACTGTAATAAAAAGTGTTCAAGGGCTATCAGCAAAAAAAATTGTGAGTCTGCTGAAGTTGTTATTTAGGTGTGAGGTAGGCTTTTGTGGTGATGGTACATCATGTAGTTGGGCATTCCCCAGTTAAGGTAGAAACAAATGTTCTTTGGTAACCTATGCCACCTTTTAATATAAAGTAGTGTGGGTTTTTTTCGTGAATATTCATGTGGCCATGTACAAAATTGAATACATATGGCTATATTTGACAGAATTATACCTTACTCTTAGTGGCTCAAGCTCTGCACCTGTAGACTTCACTAGCAAAAGTTCCAGGCACTTCTGCATTTAGCTCAGTGTTCACAGATGGGCGAATCTCTCTAGGTCTTCCATTAAATTTTCTGTTCTGTTCAGCCCGTAAATAAATAACTGAATGCATAATGAATCACATTCTAGAAGCCTGCAGAAACTGTCTAAGAACACTTTGCATAACAGTATTCTTTTGGATCTAGTACTTCAACTTCACTTTGCTCGGAGTTCTTGAAAGGAAGTAAGTTGCCTCTCAGAAGAACGTACATCACCTTCAAGGCTCCTCTATATCCAGACAGCATTAGAATAAACATTTAGGAGGCTAGAAATCTGTGGAGCTCCAGAGTACTGCAGGCTGATCTCCTGTGCTGGAGGTTAGAGGGGAATATGTAGATAAAACACATCTAAAATTTCTACCCATTACTTCTGAGGTACATGGAAAGCTCTGTATGTATTACTCCTTGACCATCTAGCCACATTTAATGATAGAGGAGATTAACTTTTTGAAGAACTACATAAAAATTCCTTAGCAGTCTTTAATGGTATCTTGCAAAGTATGTTAATGTTTATTAAAAAATTGTTTTAAAGTTGAGGGAGCATGCATCTTCGAGCACAATGAGAAAATGTTTGAGATTCTGGAACGTGAAATAAACCCGAGGCCTTAGCAAATCACCAGAATAAACATCTGTCCCAGCCTGCTGCAGTTCAGTGCTGTACAGTCATCCCCAAACCAGTTCTGAACAATTTAACAAACAAGCAAGAAGTATGCTGTACTAGTGTGCCGTTCCATCTTGCCTAAGAGGCCTTCCTAAGAAGCAGGGTATAGCACCCTGGTTTGAATGCCATATTAGCATGACAGTTCTTCTGTTGTAAGAGCTATCTTATTCAGACTTCGCCTGTATATATTGCTTTTTTTAATCTTCAGCTTTGGTACTGTGTAATACAAAAATACGGTCTTGCCCTATTTACATCCGTCTCATACAGTAAGAGATCGAAGTTCTTGTCTTAAAATGTAGTTCAGAGAATCAAATTTGCTTAAACAGCACTGGAAGCGCTGTTGTCTGTACCCCAGAAAGACTGAGCTTTTTTTAATGTCCTCTGATGATGGGTGTATTTATTAGAGAAAGGAAGAAGAAGAAGAAGAAAAGCTGGGGTTTTTTGACATGTTTCTTTTGCAAACTGATGAAAAGTCATCCAAGCTTGGTTTCAGTGTGTTCTGAATTCATTGCAGTCAGCTGAGAATAAAGGGGATGTATTAGCTATTTCATTTGTAGTGTATTTTTTAATCTTATTCTGAAAATTCCAGTATGTGAGACTTCTCACTGCCACTTCTACTGTTTCAGTAGAATCAGGTTCCAAATATTATTTTTCAAAAATATTTCCTGAATTATCTATTAACTTTGCTGTGCATAATGCCATCTAATGCTATAGTGGATATCAGGTTCCCTGTTCTACAGTTTTTAAGGAGCACCATTGTTATGTAACTGACCTTAAAAAAACCTTCCAAACCCACACAATGTTTTCCATGTCTTAGCATTTTTGGTTCATATTTCATGGATCATTTTTTTGCTTGAATTTAAAAACATAAAAAGACCCCAAACAAACAAGAAATTAGTTCTCTTCTTGCGGTGGTAAAAATGAGGCCAGGAAAAATCTAAAACATAACATGCAATCATGGGGGGAATGTGTGGGTAAGGGAGATTGCTTTTGTTTCTTTAGACCTTAATTACAGCTTTTACTACCAGGAACCTGTTACAATTTAGAGCTAGACACTTTGTTTGTGAATACAGTTGGCTGAGGAAAAACCAAACCTTGCTATTCCCAGATACAGAAATTGTCTTGATGGAAATTCTCTATGGAGAAGATACGTTTATTTCTTGCAGAAATAATGCATCCATTAAAGATACTTCAGTATTTTTTATCACATTCTGAAAAACTTTTTTAACTCAGTAGTTAATGTGATTTACATTAAAACAAAAGAAAAAAAAAGGTAATCTTGTTGTTTTATGTCCTAGATAGGTTCCAGTTTGATTTTGAAATCCAAATTTCCTGTTAATAGTTCGCACATGAATACTTTTTAATGTAGCAAATGCTGATGATACAAACTAATAGAATTTGTATTTTTATAAAGCATTGCCTTTCACTGGTGTGCCCAACAGATCTCTTCTTTATCTTTAATTCTGCATAAAATATGTGCAGGAGGTGGAGAACCTGTTTGTAATTCTCTCAGCAATTCTGCATCTTGGAGACATTCGCTTTACGGCTCTGACAGACGCTGAGACAGCATTCGTGTCAGACCTGCAGCTACTGGAACAAGGTCAGTAGGATGTGACCTTGGAGCGCTGCCCACTTGGTCCCTCAGCAGGACAGTTGCGCTGATCCACCAACAGATGGAAACACAATTCCAGGGAGACCAAAAAGATGACCTCTGAAAATTCATGTTACTGTGGGAAGGCATTATCCAATTGACTTCAATGTTTTATAAACTACAGATTTTTATGGGATGAAATAAAATGCTAGTATTGCAAATTATCTAATTTAATGTCTTATTTAATGGTATCATTTGCCAAAAGAAATCGTACAGTGCACTTTGTGCAGTCTTCTTTTAAAATGCTCTTGCGCTGCTTGTCAACAGCTGAACAATTTGCATGGAATTGAATTCCTTACATTCAAAATCTGTGTCTTAAAAGGGTCTCTTGTTTCCCTGCTTTGAAGTTTGCCCTCTTAGTCACTAACAAATCTCCTCAAAGTGGCTTATGGATACAGAATGTCAGTAAGTAGCATACCTTAACTCTAATATGAGAGGAAGTCTGCCAAGCCCTGGGGAAAGACCCGAGAATCTTTAAAGGGGAAAGAAAGCTGTAATGTAATATACAGATATGTTCAAACTTCACAAAATGCTGATTATAGTAACCCAATTTTATGTGTTTGTTAATTCTGATTACTCCTATGACAGCACTCTTTCCTTTAATGTGTCGGTTCTTTCACTATTAAAAAATGGCATCTACATAAGAAAATCTGTAATAAAAAAATCCCAAACACAGTAGATCACAGATCAGGCATTCTTGAAATTCTCTTTTCATTTCAGTTGCGGGGATGCTGCAGGTTTCACCAGATGAGCTTGCTTCAGCCTTAACAACTGATGTTCAGTATTTTAAAGGTAATCTTTTCCAAGCTTACGTTCTCATAGATCAGACCTGGTGGCATTTTGATCCTTCTGATTTGAGAATTTTAAAAGCAGATAATTTTTGTTTCTTATTTCTTGTATGGTCTTGTAAATTTTCTCTCTGAGGAATACATGGGATTACCTGCCATGCAGTAAGTCAGACTGGGCCACTGAATTAGAAATGTCTTTGTAATATGGAGCAAAGCAGTTCTGCAGTCTGACGCTGATGGACTCCTAACTTGATTAATCTTACAAAAGTATGTCAAGATAACAGATTAGATATTAGTGCTAGAACTCAAGTCAACAGGGGTGTCCTGAAAAAGAAAAAAAGTTTTTAAAAAGTTCTTTCCAGTAAAATGCTAGTTCTGTGTGGTACTCATACCCTTTTCTATTGAAAAAAGTACAAATGTACATGTTTCCAAACTGAAGATCTTGTGAGTGTTGACAGTCTTCTCATCTTTCACTGGAGGCTTCAGAAAAAACTAACACCATGTATAGGTTTGGCAAAGGAGAAGTAACTGTAACTACATTTATTGTAACTAAAATTACTTAAGGCAAGCTTTACAACATGCTTTCATCTCCATTTTCTGCTTTCTCTTTTAGGAGACATGATTGTACGGAGGCATACTATAGAGATAGCAGAATTTTACCGCGATCTCTTGGCAAAATCTCTATATGGTCGTTTATTTAGCTTTTTAGTCAACACAATCAACTGCTACCTTCAAAATCAAGATGAGACTGGCAGGTAGGAGTGCCATTACAAACTATTAGGTGTGCCATTATCTGTTCAAATCCAGATCTGTAAAAGAAACATAATTCCATCATTTAAAGCATTTTATGATAGCATGGCAGTGATGCTTGAATCTTTAAATCACTGGCCATTCCTTCAAGTCATTTCCTCGGTAACATATTTGTTTATTTATTTGTTCGTGTAGGGGGACATGGTACTTAATGCAGTAATCTGGATTGGTGGTTAGAATTAGTAGCCTTTTAAGAGTTGAAAATGCAGAATAAGCAAACTCTTTCAACAAGCAGAAAACTGCTTGGTGTTTTTTTTAGTGCAGAATATGCTTTTTCTTTCTCCCCAAAACTATGACCTTAGCACAGGGTATTAAAACCAGAATTTTGTTCAAAGGCCTTCAACTGAATGTTTAAACTTCACTGAATTAAATGTTCTAAGAATGTTCTGGGTGTCTCTAGGTTATCATCTGCTAAATTCAATGCTGTTGCTATCCAGTATGGTTTCTTAGAAAAAAAGAATGCTAATTAATGTCGTCAGTGGAGCAGTCAAGAAACAAAGAAAACACAACAAAAAAAAAGAACTCTTAGTAGCATCAAAGTAGCGAACTAAGACAGTAGATCTTATTAAAGGATCATATGCAAGTGACTTAACCAAGGTTCAGCATCTCACATGCTCAGATGAGCTTTCTTGTGAACATTAAGTACAAGATGTCTTGGCATTATTGCTAAATGGAAAACCACAAATGACAGATGTGGAAATTCAGAAAAAGAGTAAGTATTTTTCCATTATATCATGTCTGCGTTGGCTTCATAGGACAAATATTTATCAGGTGCCCTCTTTTAGAGTTTGAAAACTTTACAATCTTACTTTTATTCCTATCCAATTCGTAGACCAATTAGTAATAAATCATATTTCTATAGGTGTAGCTAACAGAAAAGCTAGCATGCCTGAGTAACTCAGAGCTTTCTGCACACAAAAGCTTTCTGTCATTATACGTACCACCAGAGTGCCTAGCTTCTTGCTGGAGGCAAAGGGAAGGTTTGCCAGTAACATGGAATGGTTTTACTTGTCTGTTTCTGATTGTACAGCCCCTTAGAATTGCCTACACCTGGACAACCAAGCTAAAGCAACTTTCCAATCCATGTCCTAATTTGAAATACTGTGTTTAGAACAGGGAAGGACAGTGGCATGTGGTCACGTTCAAGTCTTCCCAATTCATTCCTGGGACTTACAGAACATGGGCTTAGCCCAGCGCACGTCTGTGACAGACAGCAATCCAGCTCAGGTATTCCTAATTACGGTGAGCTCATTTCTAGTGGTCATTGAGGAAGAAATCTAGAATCAGTATATTAAAAATCTATTAAAATTATTTGAAATAATTTTTCAATGTGTAATTTTGAAGTTTTGAAATCTGATATCTCACAATCTTTCAGAACAGGGTGTTGTGTACCTCTGTTGTTGAGTAAGGTAAACCTATAATTTCTAGGTATCATAAGATCTTCAAATAATGAAAGTAAAATCTGTTTGTATATTGTTTACCTTGCAGTCTCCTTTTAGTGCAGTCATATGTGTCTGAGGTGGCTTCTACCTTGTGGAAATACTTCTCAGTGAAACAATTTCTACCTGTGTGGTAACTTGAAGACTATGTGGTGTTCTAAGTCCCAGCTAAAACAGGACAGCTGTTTGATGTTGTCAGGAATGAGGAATTTGCAATAGTTTTATATTATACCTATGCTTGAAAAAGGGGAGTTCTTTTAGGCTGGCTAGAGGAAACTAACTGGCTTAGGATATATTAGCAATGCTGACAAGACATAATAAATTTTGGCAGGCCAAATTCAGCCTCAGGTGCCTTTCCAAACTTGAAGCTAAATAGCTTATTCTAAGTGAAAATGAAGTTGACTGTCCTTCATTGATATTTCAACCCCAGTTGAGTTAGCCAGCTTAAGATAAAAAAAATACCTCTCCTACCCCCACCTTTTTTTTTGGTCCAGCCTAATCATATTGCATAAGCTGTAGTAGTAAATCAAGGCATAGCACAGTTCAAGATGCAAGTTGGATTAATGCAGGTCATTTCATGAATCTGTGATTTGTGGTTCAGATTTACTTCGTATACATCTGAGCAATTCTATCAATTAGTGGCATTATACCTCCAGTTTGGTGCAGTTTTAATAAACCTCTTAATAAAGATCCACCAAAGACATTAACTAATGTGGCTAAATAAGGCTGATGATACATTTCAAGCCACACTTCATTGCCTGGTGAGAAACTTACACAGTTACTACTTACCAGATGGGGTGAAGCCTTCATCAGAAACCTGGAATAAGGTTTCTAACTCAATTCTCTTGTTTTATTGTGAGGTAGCTTAACTGTACTTCCATTCAACTTCAGTGAGAATTTATGAAGCAATAAAATTAGATTTATTGGCTTAGTAACTCTAAGAGAAACATTTGATCTTGGCATTTTTGAGGAAACTAGTTACCTGGGTTTAACTTTTATGCTGAAGCTACTCAATTTTGGTCATTAATATTGATTTATATTTACCATGAAATAGCTTGTGACTGGTTTCAGGCAAAATAAAAGTGATGATTGCCATTAGATCTAAGGGAAGGGGAGATGATTCTATGAAAAGCTGCAAAGACCAAGCTCTAGAGGTATGAAGTATAGACAGTAAAAGTGTTGCCAGAGTCCAGCAAATTCATCACTTTATAATACTATCCAATAAATATAAAGCAAGAGTTCTAATGTCAGTGTTAAGTGAGATAATCCCCGTTCAGAAATGTTGTTCTCCTTCATAAAAAGTTACTTACTATTTTGTCTAGTTAGAACTAAATTACAACCATGGATTCTAGTCTGGACTGGTTGCAAGGTACTTTGAGGTATATTACTTTATTCATCTTGATATTGTTTCAAAGAAATTCACTGGAGAGAAACTGTTTTTCTGTAATTGGCCTCTAGAATGGGATTAGAAGAAAGCTATTAAAATTTCTTACAGGTGCTTATATTTATTTTTTTTAAGTTTAATATTTATATTCACTCATTTATATAATTATTTCCTATTAGTATAAAAATCGTCTGGGTGAACTTCTTCTCAAGACTCTTAACTCTTCAAAGTTTATGACTGTTTTACTTCCATTCAAATAAATGTGCTGATTTTCAGTTTTGTAGATAAAAGAGACTAGAGCATTCATGGTTGCCTAAATGTGGCATTTCAAGGTGCTTGATTGCATGTTGGCAAAGTTGGATCTAGTGATCCAAATATTAGTAATAAAATGTCTTAGGATGATGTTATAAGAACTCATGACTCATTCTGCAAGAGGACTTTATGCTTATGGGGACTTAAGAATGTCTGTGAACTCTTGTGAAATACTTTTGTTCTTTTCTGATGCAAAACAAGCTAATTAGGTATATATGCTTGAGAACATCTTGATATTGTTTTCCCTGCCTGCTAGTAAGTAGAAGGCATGATGTTTTATCAGCTAGTTAGCAAAGAGTTTCTCTCTTATGTGGCCGGGATACGGGGCTAATGCCAACGTGCTTGCTGTATTACAGACAAGCAAAGAAAGCTAGCATTCAGTTATACCCTCAGTCTGTATCAGCAGGTCAGCCATAGGAGATTTCTGTTTCAAATAGAGCATATAGAATATTTCTAAATAGGTATTTTCTGAAAGCTGGTGTATTCTGGCTGTGTAATCTTATTCCAGTGAAATTCAGATATTGCCAGAGGGTAGCAGTGGCAACACTTATTTGGGGAAAAGGAGGATCTCAGGAGTCTCATTTACAAACTTTTTAATACACATCACCTGATTTATAGAACAAGATAGATATTCTGACATAGAAATCCTCCCAGTTTAAGTAAAAAAACCAGAGCATAAACTAAAGCATTCATTTATGTATTACTGAACCCAGTAGAAGGGTGCTGGCAGTGCAGGAAGGATGGAAAGAGAGTTCCTGTTCAAAACATGAATGCACAGCATAATGAGAATTGTCTCTATATGTGGAGGTAGGGAAATCTTTAAAAAAAACAGTACAAAGCATCTAAAAGCATATGGTGCATAATACCGTGTTTTGAGATCTGCTTCAGTCTGGATCATTTCCAGTGTTTCATTAAACAAGACAATGCTGTTTTTTAAAGCATAGAACGAATTTTGCTTTAAAGAGGTGGGGAAGAGTATGTGCTACTGATGAGAGGGCTATAGATCTGGAGTCTATTAGCAAACATATTTCTCCCTTCCTGCCATACCTGTCAAGTCACTCAAAGAAATGTTTGTCAGATATGGAGCCAGTGTTTCTTTCCACTGTGTCCAACCACTGTCTCTTATCTGCACCACTCACACCTGGGTAAGATAATATTAAAAGAAAAATGACAGTTGTTGACCAAGATGACTGAGAGATGTGGCAATGACACCATCTCAGCAAAAATCTCAGAATCTTAAAAAAAATACCAGAAAAAGCACTCTCAAAAGTCTTGGAAACTAGTTTGGTTTAGTAATTGTTTGAGATTAAGAACATAGCCAACTGGAAGTATTCAGCCTGTTCCCTTCAAGAATCATATTTATGACAACGGGTGTAATCTGTCCCCCTGGGAGAACTGAGGGAGTCTTAATTAGGATTCTGAGGGTCCTCATTTGAAGGCTAGGTTATATACTTTATCTAATCCTAGAAATGTTTCCTCATTAATCAGTATCACTTCTAGTTTATCCAGATCAGACATAAGCCTACTGGGTTCCTTCTGGTTACTGGCAGAAGCTGGGGGAAGAGCAAGAAACATTTTATCTGGGGCAGATGAAAAGGTACATTAGATCATCCTGCCTCAACAGATTCACCTTGCTGCTTTACGTAGGCAGACTACAAAAAATGACAATGGGAATGAACCCTATGGATTTCAGAGCTGAAAACCATCTGGGATGAAAAAAGAGTGATCAAATAACATCCTATAGGTTTGTCTGAAGCAATGGGTCAGAAGTAGTGTAAAGGGAGCCAGGAATGGCAAACAGGTCAAGAGCATCTCTTGATGAATGGCAAGATGTCTGCCAAGATAGTAGATCATCAGACAGGATGTCTTCTGTACGTGTATTGTTTTTAGGAGTTGCCAAGAATTTTTATGTAGTTTCTTTATAATGCAGTTGTTAAGATTACAAGATCAAAAGGTATTTCTAGTCTATAAGGACACATTTACAGAGATGTCATTCTGAGGAAGAAGGCAAAACTGGAGACATTGTAAAATATTATCAGTTGAAATGCTCTTTTGTAAATCACAAAAATCAAGTGAGTTATGGTTAACATCCATGCCTGTTTTTAACTATTCACAGCTATGTACTGGTCTAAGAGATAAAAATGTTCTTCAAATATTGGCAAGTTGCTGTTTTTCTATGCTAGGAAATATTGTCAAACTTGAAATCAAAGTCTCGGTCCCCACTAAAACTGTAGCTGTTTTATTTATACGTAGTTAATATTGAATATCTGAAACATAATGGGGGGAAGTGTCAGTGATGTTTAGTAACCATAAAAGAATGAAGTAAAATAAGGGGATTTTTCAGAACAAAAAGTGCTCTTTTCTAATATTTGTTCTTTTAGACACTAGTGACATGTCCTTTCATTTGTAAACATGGGATCATTCATGCTTTGTTTTGCCTTGGGAATCTCTGCTATGATTAATTTAAGGAAAGTAATTTTGCTGGAATTAATATGATTGACAGCTAGCCAAGAAAAACATATATGGACCCTCCCTCTGAGAAGAAAAGTGGTATAAAACAGAAGACAAGAAGAAAGAAAGAAAAAAAGCAAAGTAATTTGTAGCCACATATAAAACAACACTTAATTTTCTTGTTGTGCTGTCTGTTGCTCTTTAATTTTCAAAACCTGAGCAATAATTTAATACAGAAAATTACTATTATGGTTGGTGAGATTTTGCACATAAATGCCACAATGTAGTAATAAAATGTCACTATTGTAGAGGATACAGAGCCTTGTTCTGTTATACCTGCCCCGTAGGCAAGATACTAATTACGTAAAACCTCCAGCTCTTTTTCATGTAGTGTGTGCATCTTCTAATAATACAAGACCAAGATTATCAAGTGGAGTTCATCAAAAAAATTGGGATGACATGTTCTCTTGTCAACAAATGCATCTGCAGCAAATCAAGATATTTCTTAGAAATATTACAGTTTTCATAAGAAATGTTATTTGAGGTAGGCAATAGGCTGGCTGCTAAGACTTTAACCTGGAGTTTTAGAAACTAGGGCCAGGTTCCTGTTTTGCCTGATTTGTAATAATTCATTAAGTCAGTTTGTTTTGGCCTTTTCCTTATGCAAATGTTTATATATTCCTTGAGAGAAAGTGAGAGAGACTGATTTGACAAAATAACAGTCATGGTACTGAACTGGGTTGTAAGCAGTCCAGCCTCAAATCTACTCATTGAATCAGACAAAGAAGGGATAAACTGTTCATCTGTGTTAAGTAGCTCTTAATAACTGTGAAATATAATGTAATATTTCAGCTGCTGTGCAGTATTACATAGCAGTTCATGTTTTGCCTTCCTATAAGGAAGGCTATAGATAAATGGTAAAAAAATAAGAATGAGAACTTATTAAGTATTCTGAAATTCCAAACTACTTTTTTCCCCAAAACTTATTTAAATAACATAATAATTCTGGCTTTTCAATATTGGTCTGAGTGAGTTTGTTTTTAAAATGTCTCATTCTTCTCTACAGAAATGGATTGGTTTTGTTGAAAACATGCTGTGACAAGGAACGTACACCCACCTCTAATCAGGAACATTTGAAAATGAGGCTTACATTTTAAAACACAATTTAAATTGCACTCATTGCTGGAGATGGAGTTGATGATATATCTTTATGCTTCTTGTTGTAGAAATTCCCTCGGAGGCTAATCGACCTCACGATAACCTCTCCTGCCCAACAAAGTCATTCTAGGTTAGATTTATTATGCAACTCTCTATGCCTGACATTTACGCACGTAGCCAGTCTTGTGACTATCTGTAGTGCATTGAACCAGTATGCCTTAGAAATGAAGACAAACTTCTTGGCTGTGATTTCTGAAGAAGGGTCTCCTTGTCCCTGAGGATCATTTTTCCTAGCTTGTTTTGTAGTACTCAATATTTTTATGATTTTACTTTTTTTGTTTGTTATATGGGAATTTATTTTCAGTGTTGGATCCTTTCCTAATTAAATGCCAGTGTTTACACTGACTGTAACAGAACTATAATAAAGTACTTCAACAGTGGATCACCTTTTTCTCCCTTACGTCTATATCCTGCTATACACATAGATTTCAACATAGAGGGAACATGGAGGAAAAATGTGGAATGAAAAGTAGATTTCAGAAACAGCAGGCTGCGATATTATTTGTATGCATTTACAAATTATGTTGGCAAAGAGAAGGGGAAACCCATCTGCTTTAGAAAGTGTCCATCTCCTTTCTCAGGAAGCTGAATGATTTTTCCTATTCCAGACAGCCATTGGCTATAGTGCAAAGTCTTTCATCCTGCTGGCAGATCATTTCACTCTGGAGAAAGTCCCACTACATTCACATAGGCAAACTGCAACAAATCTTTGACTGTAACCCTCTTTTTCTGTTCTCTGTCTAATGATACTGTGAAGAAAATAAAGAAAATGCCAGCCTCAGTGAGCTCGGAACTTTCATATCTAGTTCTCAAATCATTCCAAAGCAGGCAACAGGATATCCCAAAACATGGATTTTGCTCCCCGTAGTGAACTTGTTTTTTTCTCCAAATCAGGTTTACAATGACTTAGTCCCAAGTAAGTACAGAATAATAACACCTCTGTCTCTTTCTCATTTCTGCTGTCCCAATCCTAGGTGACTGCCCTGCACTTATCCTTCCGCTGGGCCAAAATAAAAGCCCTTTCCTGAAAGCAGGCAGTGGCACATGACAAATTAGATGCATTGCCAACAAGTATTTTTTTATATATATTCAAAGAGGAAACATCTGTCGTCTTCATGCCCAAATTCTGACTGTTCTTTCCCCTGAGAGATGTAACCTCTTGTGCAGCCTGAGCTGGCAGCCGCTACTTGATGCTGGCACAGAGAGGACTTTGGCTTAACAGGTTTCCCTTGAAATACCTTTAGTAGGAGCAGTTCTGGCTGTCAAAGAAATAACTGGAAGGGGTAACTGAGTGCAACCAAGCAATTTTTAAACTCTCATCTGAGCAAACGATGTACCTTTAGAAACTGGACTTTAAAGAAGCTAAGATTTTTTTCGTTCTCTTACAAATACAGTTTTTAAAGTGGCTGCTAAAACAATCTTGAACGCTGCTTTTTTATTTATGTTCATTACGATAGGTTGGTGGGTAGAATTTTGATTCAGTTGTGTATGTGGTCTGCTTGTGTATTTTGTACCATGTTTTTGAAATACAGCCTGCTTCGATCCTAGAATAAATACTTTTGTCAGAAACAACAGGTGCATTATTCACTTGCCTGAATTCTTATTATCTGTAACTTTTTTTTTTTTCCCCACAGTGACCAGGTATTTGAAATTGGAGTACTGGATATTTTCGGATTTGAAGAATTTCAGAAGAATACTTTCGAACAGGTAAGTGGCTATGTTTTGCTGAATTTACTGTAACTGTTAATGTTAAATCTTCTATTAAGGTTTTGGGTTTTAGCCAAAACGAGTGTTTTGATCAGAATATAAGCATACGTGGAGGCGAAAATTTGCTCTTAAATTTTTTTCTTCCCATTGTGCTTATATGGGTGTGAATTAAAGCACAGGCTTTGTACAGTTATTCATCATTTTAAAAGAATCTAGTAAACATGTACCATAATGATTTGGAAGAGGAGTAGTATCAGCACTGAAGGACAATCTGAGGAAAATACTTAGTGTTGTGTGTTTTCATGCTTCTGGAAGTGATACTTCAACTAGGTCAGTGAGTAGGAGGACAATACGCTGGTTTGGAAGAAAGATCAAAAGGTCTTCAGAAGCCTTGGAGGAAAAATAGAATGAAAATGCTACATTATGCTATGTGCCATTACTGGCAGTTTCACCTCTATGTGACTTTACAATATGTGACTTTTTAAAAAATTTAATTACTTCAGTGGAAAATAAATTAAACTTCAGCTTACTGAATGGTTAAAAATCCATTTAAACATATCAAACATTTTTTGAAAGTTATGGAACTGTTTGCCCACGTTCAACATTAGTTTCTGAATACCAAAGCTCTTGTGAATTACATATTTCAGAAAGCATTAGCAGCTCTACACAACACGCTGAAAGAGATGTCTAAGTTATTGTTCAGTTGTTCATTCATTCTGTAATGCAGCAGCAGAAGATCAAAGCATAGAATAGAAAATGAAAGCATAGAAAAGAATAGAGATGGCATCAGCAACAAAGGACCTGTTGCTGTTTGGAATAAGAATTTGCCCCTTCATCCCAGTCAATCCATTGTTTTATGAATCAACTTTCTAATGAAATAGGAGTTAGAGCCACATTAGTGCAGTTCGTATAGCATATTTACATTGCTACCCAATTTCCAAATGTTTGAAAGCACAAACAGGGTGAGCTTACCTCTACCTTCAAAAGAGCATGTAAAAATGCAATAAAACATATTCCAGGTCCCCTCTCACAAAACTCCTTTTGCTGTTACAGTTCTACCTTGCTTGAACATTTCCTGTATTAAGGACTATTGATGTGTGCCAATATTGACAGTCATTTACTCAGTATAAATGTCCACTTTGGGGAAAAATACCAGGTGAAAAATAAAAAACATTCTAACAGACTGAATGTATGCAAAAAAATTTCTGTAAAAGCTACTGATTAACAAGGATAAAGTATTCTATGCATTTTAAATGCATCTCAAAAGAGAGGGCTGCATCTTGGGACTTACTGGTTATTTTCCTTTGACTCTGTTCTGTATTTTTTTTGTCATGAAACTCATATAAGTTCTGCAACTGACATCATGAAATACCATGAATTCCAATTTCTGTGGTAAGTAATTTTCTGCTTAGTGACTGCAGAGCATATTTGAAGAGAAAGTAGGAGATTTAAAGAAAAATTAGTAAAAAGCAATTTATTTTATGATATCTGCATTAGCAAACTTCATAATTTCAAAGTCAACTTTGCATTTTTATTTTATTTTTTCTAAATAAATGTATTTCAAGAGACACTGTCCCTCCACCTGGACTGAATGCATTTTGTTGAGTAGTACTGAGTGATACTCTGAGTAGTTACCTCAGAAACTACTGAACTGCATTCCTGAAAAGATAGAATAGAGGTGAGGGAATTACAGGGTTCATTTTTATATGGACTCTATAATATGATTAACACATCTCATTCCTGAAGTGATAGGTTGCAGTTTCAGTGAAGAGAAGCAGTTTGTATCCCTGCGTCACAGTGAAATCATGCAGACATACCCAAAACAGTCTGCACTCAAAAGCTGGAGCTTTCTAGCAGTCTCGCCTAGTTCAGTATTCTGCTGGGCTTGTTAACCGTGAAGGTAAACAGGCTTGTTAGCCCAGATAGGGTCCTCATGCAAAACATTGCATCATGTCTGCAAACATGCCTGGTGTCAAAGCTTGTGATTGCAGAACGTTAACATTAAATGTTATAGCCAAACAGCGGAGGAGCCATAAAAATACTTTTTCATTACATTTAGATTAACATATTTTGAAATGGTGCTACAAAAGTAATTTGGGGAAAATGAATCTTTTGTTTCAAATTAGTGTAAGACAAGGCATTCTTTGTGAATCCCGTTTGCCTGCTTTCTTGGAAAAAAAAAACAACAAAACAGCTGTTTTCAAGAAAGATTAAAACCTCCTGATTGCCCATATCTGGGGGCATTCCAAGCAGCTGCGTGAATCCTTCAAATCAGGACAGTTGATAGACAGTTTAGTATCATAATTAAGAGAGCAATATGATACTAAATCACACGTCAATTTAAGCAATTCATTTTAATAGGCTGTATTTGAAGACAGTTCAGGAAGAGAGAGCTGGATAAACCAGGTAGAATAACTTGTCCACTCCAGTGAGTGTATTGGAATGATAAGGCATTAAAGCATTGAAATGTCAAAGGGAAACGAAGAATTGGTCTAGGAATGGTTCATAAACAATGCATAGGACAATAGATGTAAAAGAACTAGAAAAGGTTAATTATGTCTACACCAAGAATCTGGTAACTTCTGCAGGCAAAATGATGTGACTGACAGCATGCTAGGAGAAAAGTTTCATAGACGGTTACAAAGAAGGCAGCATTAGAAGTTAAAACCAGTATTAATCAAATGTTCAGTTTTCCTTGTACTTGGTGAGCATTGGTAAGCCTTCATTTTATAGAATATATGTGTGATACATTATAATAGCAAAAATAGGACATGTAATTCTAAAATACCAGTAAATAAGTGTATGGAGTAAGTGATAGTGAGCGGAGTTGTGATTTTTGATATGAAATTTAAAAGCTGAAAGACAGGGGACAGTGTTTTTAGAAGCCACAGTCTGAGGGAGTCATTGTTCAATAAAGACTGAAAGCTTCTGAATTACCAGGCCTCAGTGAGCTACTGCTCATCAGCTGAGCTAAGGTAAATCACTACAGTACACTTTTAGCTCACCCCAATTACAATTTACAATCACTTCCTAGCAGTGTTCATTGGCTTGGGAACAGCATTTTCCTGCTGTGCCAGAACAGCTTTGTATACAGCCACCCTGGAACATGGTCAGAAGTGAGCACACATTTGTCTTTCCTGTTCTATACAGAAATGGCCTTCATTTTGTGATCATTTCAAGAAATAGGAGTGCTCTACCAAAAATAGCAATGGCAGTTTTCAGTGGCAGTTTTCAATGTTTTCTTAGGTTTCCTTTTTTGAGAGGGTCTATATTTGTTTACAGCTTAATCTGCACTCCTTTAAAAGTAGAAAATGTCTGCTTCTCTTCCGATAGAGTTTAAAACTAGGTTAGATCTTATTCACAGCACAACTCCAAATAGTGCAGTCAAGGAATGCCGCGATCTTCTTTATACCTTTATGCTAATATATTCTTTGACCACAAGAGCATGCACACAAATGGAAAGAACTCATGGCCAATGAACCTAACAAGTGATAAGCAGGAGGGAAGGCTGATAAAGTTGCCTGTACCATTTTCACCTAATTGTTTCTAAGAAAACTGTATTATAGCAGAAAAAACAGACCTTAGAGTAGCAAGAGTTGCATTTCTTCCCCCTGCAGAAAGTCAGGTCTTTCTACAGAAACAGAGGTCTGTAGTTGTGGAGGCATCATAAAGAGCAATAATGCAGTTAAACAAAATGGACTCTAGTAGAGTCTTTCCTCTCTGATGTCTAATTCAAGTGGTAAACTGAAAAAATATTTAGTTCTTGCTAAATAATGTGTTTAGGTCTTGCATGGTATTTTGCCTTTGTAGACCTCTTGAGTTTTGCAGAAGAAAGTATATATCATAACCTCCTTTTTATAGGAAATACAAGTAATTTACCTGAATTAGTTCCGCAGGTCATGGAAACAGGCAAGTGTTTCTTGACTCCCATTCAACTCTATACCCATTAAAGTAATGTGCATTATCCATGTGATGCAGTAGAGTGTTGGGAGAGGCATGGCCCCCATGGCAGCTCTGTGCAGCACATCTCTGGCTACAGGAGCCAGCTGGCTCCGAGAGCAGAGAGCATTGCCTGCCCCACTCCGGACTTCAGAGTCACTATGGTGAAGCAGAAGAGCTTGTACAACCCAGCTGTGCTCACAGGAGTTTTCACCTACTTTTATGATTAGGTGTGGTAGGTTTTAACTTCACAGTGTGTTATTTCTTTAGTTAATCCTGCTGAGACTTTGTTTAATTTTGTCATCTGATCTTTCCTAGCCAAAACAGTCATAACAGAATATTTTGTATTAAATTGCATTGCCTCAGCCATGAGACCACTTCTAGCTATCCAAATATAAGCTCGTGTTGCCTGTTTTGTGGATGGATAGCTACAACTAGATAAAAGTTACACGACTTAACTTTTCTACAGTCATTGCAGTCTCCGTGATAGCAGATGGGAGGTCACGCACACAAGTGTCTGCATTTGGGCAGTCTGAAAAAGCATTCCAGTATTTTATTTTATGCAGAAGAAGTCGGCCTTCTTTGCTGTTGCCTGTCCAGAGTACAGATGGATGGTCTGCTTGTCTTTACTAGCCTGTGCTGGTGCACACCGAGCTCTGATACTATGCAGGGACTTGGATGCAGAACCTCCCACTGCAGTTCTCAGTGCTGGGGCATTCCTTACTCCCCACAGGATGAGGGACAGTGCTTTACTAGCTTAATTCAGCCTTTAACAGGGAAAAATAACGTGATACCTTAAAGTCAGAGTTTTGCTAGCCTCCATGCACAGGAGGGTTTTCATATCCTTGTTGTGGAGCGGCCAGAGCCAGCCGATCCTTGGCATCAGAGAGCCGGGCACTGGGAGGACCCGAGTGCCGGCCATGCCCTCCCACACTGGCACCATCCCGCAGGGCCTGAGGACAGTGGGCAGAACCAGGGCCAGTAATGGCGCCTGTTGACAGCCCTGATACGGCAAGCAGTGAGCCGGGGCTGGGGTCCTCTCAGGAGCAGCTGGAGATGGGGCTGGAAGCTGTCACTGCCATGGTGTCTGCTGGGACTGGGCCCATGGGCAGGGGCTGGGTGGGGGTCCCAAGGAAAGCTGAGCCAGGCTGGAAAAGCCTATTCCTGCCCTCAGGGACCCGGCGACCCTATGTTTTAATTTGTTCCTCGACCCAGTTCCTGTGGGTCTTACACTCTGTATGGCTTTTGTCATAGTGTATCCCTGTTCCTTCTCAGTCCCTTGGGTCTTTTTTGCAGTCTGCACACATTTTTTTCCATTTGTGCAGGATGCTATTGTCCGTCCGGTATTCCAGTCAGCCACTGGAAAACCAGTGTTACTCAGTTTTAAAGTTGGCTTATCAGGTACCTGATGTTAAAATGTTTATTTTTAGTTTATTCTTTTATGGTAGACACTTTGTGGCCAAAAATAAAATAATTTATCTAAAATTGAGATTCCCAGCTAGATTCAGTTTGTGATTGATTGGTGAAATGCTGCACAAGGACATTTATTAACTGTTATCTTACTTTTCCACAGCAGCACCCTTTTTTAACTTACAGTCAGCAGTATGAGCAAAAAAATAATTTGGAACTATTTCAGTATCTTTAATTCCAAATTCTTTCAAGGAAAGACTGTTGTTACTACGCCTGTTTGTTTAATACTTTTATATGTACAAAGTCAGCTGAGGGACTATTCCACTTTGTATTGAAATTGTGTCCCTTTTGGAGGGGCTTTTCGGACCCTCCTTTGTGGAAGGCTTTTCCGATGACAGCTACCCATAATAAAATTTTAATATAGCACTGGGTTCTGTTTTAGTTTATTAGAGGAACAGAGATCAGCTAATGGCAACTGACCCCAGAGACAACATGAACTCCCAGTGAAATAAAGTTCTTCTGACAGAGAGGCAGAAGGACTATGTTTGAATTTGTTGGAACTGCAAGGAAAACAAGAAATCTGTATTAGGTCCTATTGCCCCTAAAAAGCAAAGGAAGAAATGTAATGGGTTCTGGTTTTGTTACACATTTATTAAAAATATTCTGATTGGTACTCTACATAAAGAAAAGGATGTGGAAATGTTTGGGTAGCAGGTACAAGGGGAAACAGTGATGAAGATAGTTCTGAGAAAAAAGTGATCCATCAACCTTAGGTTTAAAAATATTTTCTGGGTCCAACCTCAGTAAATGGAAGATGATTCTGCCTTCCACTGTCTTAGAATTACATTTTTGAGAAATGCTAGAGCACATCCTTGCAAATTAAACTTGGCGTTGTAGCTTCATCATCTTGGCCCATAACATACGACTTGATAGATGTGTTGATGTGACAGCCGTGAGCTTTACTCCATGCTCTCAATACACATCCCTTGAGAGAGCTAATCCTTCTGCATGACCACAGGATGTAAATGAGCTTTCCAAAGGGTGTTCACATCCATCGTTCCCTCACTGATTGTCACCAAGTTTTCTTTTCACAAATTTCCTTTTTTTGGCTATGCTTTTTCAAATAGTTATTTATATAAAGTGAAGAGCAGGAAAATTTTATTAGTCAAAAGTGCTTTTCTGTCTACAGAGCACAGTACAATTTTGGTCTTCTGCCTAAATTTGAATTTGGAGTATACTTAATAGTACTAATCAGTCAAATGTAGTAAAAGAAGAGAGATCAAGCTAACACTGTTTCTAATGTGATGAATACTTATTCTTTTTACCAAATGCCACTATATTATTTTCTAAATTCTGCCATTTGGATGATACTTCAAGTTGTTTGTTTAAATGCTTGAACAAGACTTTTTTTTTTCTTCTACTTTTTAATGAAGAGTTGGACAAATAGATGGTGTATTTGTTTTAACTAAGACATAACAGTGAGTTAGGATTAGAAAGGAAGACAGGTAGGAAGATTTCTTACAGAAGAGACGTGCAATGGAGCCAGTAAGAGGCATGTAACGAACAGTTTAACAATGGTTAATGAGAAGTACCACCATAGGTAATGTCGAGTAATGCTGCAAGGTAAAGCAAATACACAATGCTTAAAGGTATTCCCACAACGTTTGTTTTAGGCAAAAATGTCACTGTATTTTCTTTTATTACTACTGTATTTCCACCTAATTTTCATGGGTACAATTAAATACATGCTTAAAAAATGTAGTTTCTGAACTTTTCATATCTTTGGACAGAAAATATATCATTGTTTTATATAATACTTCATATGACGTGGAGCAAAAAAGTTGTGTTAGCAAAGCTAGTTTAGTTCATTTTCATCTGATTCCTACATTTCAGCTGTTTTAATTATTATGCCAACCTGTGTCAAGCTTTTGAACATTATTACTTTTTCCTAGCAGGTTGTATAAAACATTGAAATGGAGAAAGATACGGTCAGAATGTCTTGCTTTTCAGCAGCCCGTGGTTGGTCTGCTGGTTCACGTTCTACAGAGCTGTTACTCACAGCCACTGCTAGAGAGTGCAGCTTTGGAGCAGCTTGCAGTGTGTATAAGCGCTTGAGCTCGCTTTCTGGTCTGGTTTGCATAACTTTACTGTCATTATGGCAAATCTGCCGATCTGAATGACAGCGTTCCTTATATTTCTAAAAAGCACACCAATGTATGCCATAATATACTGATCAGTGGAATTTATAAATGTTTTTTTTTCTTTACCAGCCCAGCATGTTATGTATGAGTTTTAACAAAATAATACACCTCTTACTTTTGGCAGTTAAAACCAGTGCTATTTATCAGATCTTTTTAATTCTTCTTGAATAGTTTAATATGCTGCACAGCCAGGTCCTTGAGTACATGTATTGGTTTTATGTATTTTAGGAGATTGGCAGATGATAAAACAAAAGCTTGAGTTCATAGTGATTTTGTCAACTTTTCTTATGGTAAAATATACCTGTGTAAAGTTAAACAACATGGTTCTCTAACTCATTTGCAAATAAAGGTATACACAGCATGCATCATTTTAAGCCTTTACATACCCTGTGAAGTATAAGCCTGTAATGTTATGTCTGTCTTCTAAAATGATGTTACGAAGCTTCTGAAATCTTGTAATTAGAATTGGAAAAGTGATCAGTAAAGCACATTTTGCCTGCCACAAAGTTTAAAAAGCTGTCTTTTTCCAGAAAAGAAGTAGATAGTGTAAGTCAGTTGTATACTTTCATTGTTGATAAAATAACAACCTGAATCTTTAGAAATCCCACTTTTAAAAAACAGTGGATTTACTTGAGGCTGTCTTTTGTCTGCACTATCAAGCATTAGTAAAGACAGTTAATAACACACATTTGGTTATAAAATGGGGTTTTGTTTTATTTCTTCTTACTGTTATTCATACTAGTCTATTTCAGTATGTAGCAAGTGCAAGTTGACTGTACTAGCATGAGGTGTTAATGGAAAATTCAGGCAACTATTAAACATTACTTGGGTTCTTTTCCCTCATCTGGATGTCAAGCCATGTAGTTTTGATCTAAATATTTCATATTTTTTAACATGCTGATGGAATTGCTTTTACACACTTCATTCATGGAAGATACAGTTTATGGCCAAAACAAGTATGTGACTAGTTTAGTCTGAAAAGAGACTGCATGCAAGCATTCCTTGCATCATTCCTTATATAAAGGGTTCTTCCACCATTTTAGGAGTTTCTGTTTTCTTAATTTCTTAGTGATAGGTAGTATAGCATTGGAGGACATTTTAGAATTTTCCACTAAATTTTGCACTTTAATAGAAATAAAATAGTTAAAACATTTATTCCACAAAATTATTAAATATTTACTTTTTGGAGATCGTGAGTTTTGAATAAAATACAAAAGGTCCCAAATAAGCTAATACAATTCCCACCTGTTTTTAATTGAAAATCAGGTTCCTATTAAACTATTTATTTTGCAAAAGTGGCACTATACCTCCTACAAGGCAGTCAAAATATTTGAGAGTCTTTTGTATTAATTATCTCTTCAAACTTTGAACTATTCTATTGAAGACCGTTTTCTTGCCAGCCTTCCCTTAGAATATCAATAAAATGGAGAGAAGCATCTAGTAAAATGTCCGTAGGTGTTTATAACATATTTGGGCAAAACACAATGAGTTCTTCAGAGACTGCTTTAGACTTCAGTGACATCATATGTGGAAGCAGAGTTTGAATGTCTTTGTTAATATTGAACTAACCAGACAGTTGGGATCTTAACCAAATATGTAGTTATTTTTTCTAAAAGCACATTGCATCTGTGTAATCTTCCTGAATATAAACTGCAGAAGAGTATTAAGTGTACCAATTTATATATAGAGTCATCCCACTTCAATCAATGGAATTATTGTAAATTTGCACTGTATTTGACAATGCTGGTATTGGATGATTCTTATGTGGAATTCACGATGAACTGTGCAGGCAGAAATCTGTTTATTCCCAATTTAATGCTAATAGCTGTTAAAATGTAAATTTCGCGGGGGTCTTGCTAATCTATGGTCTACCAAGAGATAACATGTTGTGGATTGACATTTCATCAAATTCAATATTAGACATGCAGTAAAACCTACACCGATGAATTATGCAGTAAACTTCTAATACTCATTTTTTTCTTGGTTATACAATAGCTGTGTGTCAACATGACCAATGAGAAGATACACCAGTACATCAATGAAGTGCTTTTCCTACAAGAGCAAGCAGAATGTGTACAAGAGGGAGTTGCCATGGAAACTGTGTATTCTCCTGGTAACCATACTGCAGCCTTGGATTTTTTCTTTCAGGTATTTTCCAGATCCATTTTACACCATATATATTTATACACAGTCTCTACATGTTAGACTAGTACAAACTTTTGCCTGCATTTTCTGATTCATGAATCTGTAGAGAAGGTTATGGGTCCAAAGAGACCATAGAGTGAGCTGTCGTAACTGCCCTCTTAGCTCAAGGGCTAACAGAGATGTGTGACAGTCCAGGGTTGAAGGAGACGTTACAGAAACTCCTTGCCCCTACTGATCCATGCGTAGCATCTGTGTATCATGCAACGTCCTTAATGCAGCTGTAGGACTGACGAGTCTCTGTTGTAAGCCTGACAGTTCCTTTTGTGCCTGGAGCTGACTTCTGGAGTATAAATTCTAAGAAGGAAGTAGCCCAATCAGTTTCCTAAAAGATACCATTAGTTTTGGCAACTGAAATAGTATTCCCTACATTTCTTGCAGAATTATCTGATGTACCTAGCCTTGGAGACTTATCGGAATATTTTAACCATTTTTTCCTTTTCTTTGAGGTGATACACGTTTCTGTTTACTAAATTACAAGCTGTATTACTCTACAAGGAACAACTGAAAATCTATTGCTCCTGTATAAGACGAGAAAAATCTATTTTTCATTTCAGAAACCGTCAGGCTTTTTGTCAATGCTGGATGAAGAAAGCCAATCTATTTGGTCAGTGGAACAGAGTTTTTCTAAACGCATTCAGTCCTTCCTGGATACATCAGACACAAATGCAGTATACTCCTCCACAAAAGATGGAAATGGTAACCTTGCCCCAAAGGATCAGGGCTCCACCTTCACTGTTATGCATTATGCTGGGAGGGTAAGTTGTTTGAATGATGGATTACACACAATTAATGAAAAAGAGTAAGCAAAAAATTCCGCATGGCTTCTCCAACTCCTGGCTATAAATAACAGTTCACTTTCTAGTGATGAATTTTCAGAGGACAACTTAGAATCTGAATGCAGTATCTAGTGTATAAAATCTGTACTTTGTATCATATTATGCAGTATTTGGGCTACCTAATTCTGGCTCCTAAATTGTATCTTCATTGTAAGCACTTCATGAAGAAGGGAGTGATTCAGATACCTCAGCATAAGTGTTTAATGCTGTTTTAGTTGGCTGTCTCATTGCTTTCAGATTTTTTTCCAGAACAGTATAGGTTCCCTGTAGATACTGTGCCATATATGTAGATACTGTGGATACCAGCATGCATCTGGTAAAAGAAACCCTATGGTTTTTGGTTAGTAATCATAATCAAATATATTTTTTTTCCTTTCTTTTCTTCAAAATTTCAGAACATGCTAAGTGTCTCTAAATATGGCTGTAAAACAGGATGAATGTTTTGCATTTCCCCTCCTGCAATGTTCACTGGAAAAGCATAATCGATTCTGTTTAAATAGGCTTCTCACCCTTTGCTTTCCGATACTCCCTCATTTTCACATTGTCTCCACAACCACCTGCAGCCCAAAGCAAGCGAAATAGGTGTGTGTTTAAAGGGATAATCTGACAGATTGGCCCTTCTGTGTTTAATCTGACATGCTGCCACTTGTCTCTGTTCAAAGCATGGTATTTGGAATGAGCTCATGAATGTAGATTGTATGGGCACAATACAGTGCTGGCTTTTAATTATTATTTTTCCAAAATTTCCACTCTTAAAAGGTGTGTTCAAGACTTGTCTCCAAGTCACCAAAAAAAGACTTGCTGGCTCTGTCATATGCCCTGAACTTTCCAGAACAGATGAGAGGTTGGAATGTGCATGCACAGGCTTCTTTAACCACATTAGGGTCCTTTACAGCAATATAAAGGGGGGAAGGTCTATTTTGTGGCTCCTCATTTGGAAATGAAGTCTATGGAAGTGTTGAGTAGTGTTCTGATGCAGGCAAATTTGTTCCTGCCCAATGATAGAAATGTGGTCATTAAAGAAGGGATCAAGACTATTTGGGCAGTGCTTAAATTCCTAACCTAAATACTCTGAATAACTCCCTGGAGGCTCTTCTTTCATCATCAGACCCTCTACTTAGACTCAATTTATTTGCCAAAGTTAAGTGGTTTGAATACCTTCACTATTGGGACTTTTCAGTAGGAATGCGGGCACGCAGTGGTTAGATAACAGCACAATGAAGATTTTGTGAAACCTACTAGGACTTAAAGTGATAGAGTTAGGAACTGACTGTGGACTCCACACATCTAATTTCATTTATAAATCTGTTCTATACTTGTTAGGTAAATATTTTTTCAGGGAGTGCTGTTGTAGTTATAAAAATTTATCACAATAGCTCTAAAAGTTCCATACACCAAAAAACTGACATGGAAGCAGCATCAAGGCAGCTGCATTAAAATCACAACCAGAATAATAAGCACATTTTTTCAAAATGAAAAAAAATGTTTGTCTTGCCCTCTGAAGAAGCACTTAGTAGGAAGATGTGTTAAGGTCAAAGTTTCATGTGCCTAGTTCTGAAAGTTAAGCTGTGAGTGGTAAGGAGTATGCTTTTCATTAACGTGTGTTTTAGCCTTCCATGGTTGTTTACATATTTTTTTTGGTAACATAGACACTTGGTTTGACCTTTTCCTAATAATAGCAATGACATTTAATCTAAAAGTATGAACAAATAGACAGCTCTCCAAGTAATGTAAATTGACACATTCTTTTGAAGTCAGTGGAGATCCTTTGATTTACATTGGCCAAGGAACTAGTCCAGTCAGGTTGGTTTTGCATCCTTATGACAGTAAACTGCTTGGCCCTGCCAAAACAGAAAAGTTCCATGCAAGTGCTTGACTCTCCTTATTTCAACAGTGATTGAGCAAAATCCTTAAAGACACTTGCATTTTTGTTATCTCATGGAACTGTTACCTAGCTATCATAGATTGACATTTCCAGTGATTTATGATGTGTATTTACATAAAATCTGATGATAGTGTTACTGTACAAAATAATGACACACTGAGTTTATTTGTAGACTAGTATGTCTTCCTAAGTTGAATAAGAAAAAATAGGATCTTAAAACTGCTGGTGCTGTTCTTTAGATTGTGCTATTACTACATTTAGTAGCTTCTATAAGAAGTCATTTGTGATTTATGCTTTATGAAAATTGTTAAAGGATCAGGCTTTTAAATTAATCAGATTTTATTGGCACTCAAAAATAAGAATTTCATATAACAGTATCGTTTGGCAGGTTTTGAGAGCCATTTTAATAGTCTGATATCAATTAAGTGAGTCTAAAGTAAGTGAAGTATGAAGCCATCTATCTCTGCATTGCTACCTTCAGAGATTCCCAAATTTAAAACAAGGGGGCTTGATTTTATTCTCACTCACCACAATGTTTCACTGATTGTACTCCTTTAACTTGATAAATCTTCCCATTATTTACATAACTGAAAGATGAATCAGACCCGGAGGGTGGAAAAAGAGTTACCAGTAAAATGTGACAGGTAGTTGAACATGAAATTTTTCACTTCTAGGCTTAATCATTTCTGTTTGGGTGATGTGTCTAGGCTGGTGGTTGTGGAGGAGGTCCCACTGAATACAGGATCTATGTTAAACAGAGGGTAAAGGCAGACGTCCTGATTTCTCTGGGTAACAAAAGTTGTAACAGCAATGTAGTTCACAGCCAGTGTGAAACAGCTGCTACTCCAAGTAATTTAGAGCAAAAAAAAGCTAATATTCTGTGTTTGCCCTGGTATGAATCTCATACAGAGCCTTGTAATTTAGGCTCCTTTTCATCAGTAGTTTACGTATGTAGCTCAAAGTCAAGAAAGAATTGGGTTCATATCTTTACTCAGACACAGTAGCTATTTTAGCAGCTCATAAGTGCAGTTATACTGGAAAATGCAGCTGTTAAAAATACTGCCTCACTGAAGAGACCTCTTCTCTATATTTAATTGAGATTGACAGACAGCCTTTTGTGAACAAAACAGATATCTCTAGCTTTATATTATGAGAGAATTACAGCTGATACAGATGTGTCCAGTTTTAAAGACCTCTAACATGTTCATATCTTAATCTTTTATGTCAGGATAGTCATAGAAAAATTATCTTTCCCTCCAATATCAAGTCTTCTTGATTGATTATTGTCATGCGTTGTCAGGTATTGCCCATTCCCTTATGTTTTGTGCTCAGTAGCTTTTCCTAGGACTACACATACCGTATTGTTGTCCCAATCCTAATTAGCCTTAGACCATTCCAGAAAAGGCAGTACTGAGAGAATAGAGTAGAGATAATAGGTCGGAAGTGAAAAAAAGAAAACATGAGGTCAAAGTGAGCCTAAGAAGGCATATGGGAAGAAAAGGCTCAGAGTAATGTGTAAGGGAAAAAATCCTAAAGAATTTGGAATCCGTACTTGAATTTCTGGCAAAAACAATGCTCTAAGAAAATCTGTATGTATATCATTCCGAGAGACCTTTGATTTTTTTCTTACTTTCTATACTGTTTTGGAATTAAGAAAGTGGAGTAAAAGGGGAAAACAGTATGCACAAGTAAGCTTTTGCACATAGAAGAAATCAACACGGGTGAGATTTTTCAGTGGAAGCTGAGGGAGAATACTGTATTACACAAATGTGACAAGAGTGATGCTGTGAAAGAAAGAAAACTTTTTATTCATTTCTCTTGAATTTTACTATTATGCCCGTGCAACACTCAATCTGTCTTTTTCTGCATGAGCAGTATAATACAGTTGTTAATTATATGAACACATGCTCAGCAAAGGCCACTGTGAACATTAGCACTTGATCATATCAAGTATTTTACTTTATCTCCCAGTTTCAATTTTGCAGCTGAACAGAATCCTACAATGCCTTGACACATGAGTCTCTTCTAAGAGCTATTTAATGTCTTGGTATCTGAGTGCTATAAGACAAAAAGCTTATCTGTTCTGTTCAGGCAGAAGGTAGAAAAAAAATGATTTAGGTTTTGTATGACTGAAAAAAAAATCCTAGTGGAAGGCTTTATCTGAAGGTTGTTTAACACATTTCCCTGAACACTGGCAGTCTGATCTCTTCTGGAAAAATTCTGCTCATCTGGGGCATTGCTTTTTTTCTGGTGCCTAACATGAATGTGGCTATTCTCAGCTGCTTTTCACAGGGACTGTCTGCCTGGCAGCACCCTGAGAGGAGAGGCAGGCTGATTCCATGCTGCACGCTGCAAGCTTGCCTTGAGGAAGAAAAGTGTTTTATGGGTGCAGTTGGTCAATGCATCTGACCTTCAGCTGAAACTATACCAAGAATGTGTAATACTGAATTTCTAGGTGCTTTTATTGGTAACATCAATATTTACGTTGTGGGCTCTAATGTAATGAAGGGCTTCACATGAATTATATCTCTGAACTGTCAGCTGTACTGATAGTCGTGATTTTTGATGAGTAACATTCCATCACCAAACTTTCTCAAAGACTGAAAGTTCTTTTTTTTAATTTAGTGGAAGAATTAACATATCAATAAGTAAATCAGAAATATGTTGTCTTAGCAAAATGCCAGAAGTCACAACTTTACCTAGTAGTGGTATTTAACATACCAGTGTGAGGTAATGAGCTATTTGCCCCATTGTTAATGTAATCTGAATAACAGGTCATCATAATTTAAGCTTTCTGCAGTTTAAATTTATACTGGAATTTACAAATCAGATAAGCCCCTTGTTGCTGTTTGCCTTGCCACTGTTTTGATTTACGGTACTGTAATAAACGAGTCGGACCTAACGACCAACTTTGCTGTATAAACCAGTGCATATTATGTCCTTTAAGTGCAGATCAATGTTGGTTCCATTTCTCAGCTATGTGCATTTCAAAAATACCTCTCAGCTGTCAGCTCACCTTCACCAAGGCAGTCTTCCTGAAATGCCTTATATATCCCAGGCAGACTCTGAAACTGAACCACTAAATCAAAAGACAAAAGGAGATGGAGTAATCAATAAGGATGCTTTCATTTTCTCTATTTTTTCCCCAGGCTGAATCCCCAGACATAACAATCAAATCAGTCTAGTCTAAGCTGTACCAAGGCCTATAAAGGTTACTTGACAAAGATCCTCTTTTTCACGCAGACAAGATAGTCATGCTTTTTCTCCCTTTCTCTCTCTCTCTTTCTTTCTTTAAGTATACTTGAGTTTGGACTTTCACTTGCAGGAGAAAATAATAGAACACTTCCCCCCACCCTCCTATTTTGTTGCTAAATATCTCCTGGTTTCAATATGCTAGTGTTTCTATCTGTTAGAATAAGACTTTATAGACTGCATAAAATTATTTACTTCACCCACTGCTTAGCAAGAGTTGTTTTTGGAGGGTGAGAAGCCCAGTGATCCCCCCCCAAATGGCACATTCAAGCACTTAAATGCTGTCACTCACATTTAAGTACTGGCAGAAAATTAATAACTGCAAGTGACCATCTGTGCACTGAAATTCTCCTTGGACATGTTCTCAAAAATTTCTCTTTTAACTATATGAGCTGATTATTTTCTTACTAAGTAGAATTAACAACACATGCAAAACTGTGAGTTTCTGAGTTACATTTTGTTATTAAAATAGTAACATTTTCCCTTTTAACTGTGAATGCAGCCAAATCAACCTTAACATTCCAGGTCGCATTTTCCTAGCTTTTTTTACAGTTCCTGCTGGATCTGCCATTAACCATGAGTGCTTTTGGCCTGTCACAAGATATGAAATCTATTTACAAAAAAGAGTATTTGAAGGAATTGATGAAAATTATGTGTAAAGGTGGCCCTGTTGATAAAGTATATAGGGAAATCCAATAAACTTACTTAAAGTCCCTTACCAAAGTCAGATGTTATGAGGGGGGATACTTCAGTTCAGAAGAGAATATGTACAATGGAGTGGCATGAGGATAATTAATGAAGCAAAGAGGCAAAAGTATGTAAGAAAATAAGAGGAACATACAATTCCCAAACTTAGCTCTGTGCACATTTGGTGTGTGAACCTCCTGTTTTCTGGGTGTTGTTTTTTTACCTCTTTGTATCTGCTACTTCTCATGATAGTAAAACCAGCTATGCCAACTTAAATGACCAGAAAACAGGTTCAAAACAAATAAAATTAGGTATTTTTTTACATAGCTAGTAACTAGTGAAACTCCTTGCCACAGAGTTTTAGAGATGCTAAAAATATTAATGAGTTCTGGAATGTTGTGGTTTAACCCCAGCCAGCAACTAAGCACCATGCGGCCACTCACTCACTTCCCCCCCACCCAGTGGGATAGGGGAGAGAATCTGAAAAAAAAAAAAAAAAAAGCAAAACTCGGGGGTTGGGATAAGAACAGTTTAGTAGAACAGAAAGGAAGAAACTAATAATGATAATAACAATAATAAAATGACAATAATAATAATAATAATAAAAGGATTGGATTTTACAAGTGATGCACAGTGCAACTGCTCACCACTCGCTGACCGATGCCCAGTTAGTTCCCGAGCGGTGATCCCCCCTAAGGCCAACTCCCCCCAGTTTATATACTAGACATGATGTCACACGGTATGGAATACCGTGTTGGCCAGTTTGAGCAGGTGTCCCAGCTGTGTCCCCTCCCAACTTCTTGTACTCCTCCAGCCTTCTTGCTGGCTGGGCATGAGAAGCTGAAAAATCCTTGACTTAGTCTAAACACTACTGAGCAACAACTGAAAATACCATTGTGTTACCAACATTCTTCTCATACTGAACCCAAAACATAACACTATACCAGCTACTATAATGAAAATTTACTCTATCCCAGCTGAAACCAGGACATGGTAACAGAGACTTGAGGAGGAAACATCAGTCAAGAGGTCTTAAACTCAGAGATGAGACACAGACTGCAGGTCAAGAGCTTCCCCATGGGCAGAGCCCTGGAAGCTGAGAGGGGAATTGGTAGGAGGCAGAGTGGAAGTATTCCTCAATATTTTTCCCTAAATATCCAGGACTACGTGAACATTTGGCCTGCTCCACTGCCACTGTGCTTAGGTTAAGCTCTCTTCCTTTCTGAACGTAAATCAAGAAGGAAAGCAAATCCAATCCCTTTCATGTTTTAATCTGTTTTAATGAAATAAAATGCAGTGTGGAACTGCACACTATTTTCCTTTTTAATAAAAATAGTTCTAGTTGAGATAGTATCTAAAGATCTCATTTCCTTTGGTTAACACAGACGCATAGGTTTACATATTGTCTACCCCAAAGATTTCATCATGTAAATCAAGATAGAGCAAACAGCTGCAATAAATAGAAGTTAGAAAAAGGAGTATGTTTCGTAATACTGGAACCATGACCTAAGCAAGTGCACATTTCCTGTCTGAATTATACAATGTTTGTTTGGTTTTTGTCTCCTTGGAATAACTATCCACTGTCTTTGAGTGCCAATCGGTGCAGAGTTTTGGCCAGGTTTACTTTAGAAACCCAGTGGAAGAAAACTGAGGGAAATATATGTGCTTTAGGCAAAGTGCTATGCTGGTTGGCATCTCTGATGAGGGCAGGATTAAATTAACAAAATTGGCAGCTAGAAGAGAACTTCTTTCTTTCTGTCTTTTGTGGGACTGGCAATGAATATGGAACCCTCATTGAGTCAGTTTTCATTACTTCAGGCAGTGAATTAATTTACCAAGTCTATGGGAAAACTGTTAGAGAGTTAGCAGTTTCTTCATAAAAGGGAATCCTGCTAATTTTCATGTATTTTATGTAATACGAGAGATGCCTTATGAATATAGTTCTAGAAGTTGGTGATGTATTATACCAGCACCAGTACTGAAACTTTTCCCTGTTTCAGTCTAGGCACTTAATCATAGTACAGTATCTCCCACTGCTATACTTACCTACTCTTCCCACCAATACTAACTCTCTTCTTCCAATTTAGTCAAAGCCTAAGACACTCAGTTAGGAACTGGCATTATGGATTTGTCGAATAAGTTCTGTTAATAATCTTTTATGGACCAGTATGGTAGAACATTTACTTCAAGTACACTAAAAGCATTTAGTAGTACACTTAAATTATTCTAATAGTTTGCTAACTATGTTGTATGTTCTTAGGAGGTGCAATTAGAAAATCACAAAACATTGCATCTGTCATGGAAAAGAACGTAATTCTATTGTTACACCTTTTCTGTGTCAGATGCCATACTAATTACTTCATTTGACAATTACTAACTATAACGGACTATACACATCCAAGTCATATAATCTCCTTTGTGAGGAAGGTAGCATTACTTAATTGTCAAATGACACAATGGAAAACAAAATTAGTGCACTGATTAGTATTACTAATCTTAATTATATATTTACAGCTTTGCTAAATATACAAGGATAAAATTTCCCCAAATATCTAAGGTATTTAGGATGTTGATCCAACAAAAACTTAAAAAAGGCTTTAGATAGAAACATGGTCACAAGGTAAATAAACCCAAACTATTCTAAGAAGTTCCCGTTAAGTGTTTGCCTAATGTTGGAGGTACTACGATCTATAATTTTCATACTCTTTAACTTAAAAATTCCCTTCTGGTTCTACTACCATGCAAGCCAGAGCCGTTTATATCTAAAGCCTGTAAATGAACTAGTTGTTTGTCTTCCATCCCCATAAAAAGTAAAAAAAAAACAAAAAAACAAACAAACAAACAAAAAAAACCCAAAAACCTGGGCTCAGTGACTGCTTTTTTGTCTTAGTGCTGCTTTTCTATACAGTGTCACCTGGGATGGGCTCAGTGTTAAAACAGCCACTTGGTCATATTTCTTCAGTTTGGATGTACCCTCAGGAACTCTGGCTAGAGCCTTGTGTTTTGCTTGCTTCTCTGAGTGCCCAGCACATGTGTTAGAGTTTATCTGCAGTCTGATGACAGATGGAGTGACAATCCAACTATCTGCTCTTGAAATTACAACATCAGGCAACTAAGGTGATCCAAAATCCTTATGTGCATAGTTGTTAGAAAGGTCAATGGGATTTGTACATAGCCTATAGACTGAACTTGCCTCCAAAGGACATATAAATGTCTGGAACTTGTCTTGTAAATGTCTGGAACTTGTCTTGGGTGTGAGCTGGGACTCAGATTGCTCCATGAGTGTTTTGTCCTGGTCCGTGTGGACAGTTTCCCCTTGACAAGGAGCTGTGTGATCTGGGAGTGACTTGCTCATCCTACAGGGAAGGTGATGTTTAGGTCACTTACTTCTGCTTTACACTACACTTTTGAGTCAAAGTCTTGCATTGTGGAAATGTTTTAGAATCTTTCTGATGAAATTTCTGTATGCTTGCAGAGACACACAGTGTTCAACAACCAATGCTTCTGGTTAGTATTGTTGGCACCAAGAAAGGAACAAAAGACACTACCTGGTGCCAGCCTTTAACTGTTGAATGGAAAAAAACATAGCTTCATTTCTACTGCTGTAAGATTTTTAAAA